ACAGAACTCAAGCTCGCCGCTTTTACCCCGGACAGCGTGTCTTAGTAAGAGACTATCGAGCGGGAAACCCGCAATGGGTGGTAGGATCGATTCGGAGAAATATTGGACAGGTGCTATATGAGATTAATGTGGGTAATTTGATTTGGACCAGGCATTCCAATCAGCTGCGACCAACTAGCATCCCTGCGGGCACAAGCGCTCGGTTACTACCGTTAGATATTCTACTAGAGAGTTTCGACATGCCATCTAATCCCCAAAGCAATTCGGATGCATCCCGCACAGAAGTCTCAGAGGAACCGAAGGTCCAGACCCGGCGCTGTACTGATCGACTACGGAGACCTGTCGTAAGAATGCAGTTGGATCCAAAAATGAAGTCTTATGTCAACTTTTGCGGGGGAAGGTGTTAATGGGACGGAACCAGCCAATGAGAGCGTTTACGCTGAGGGCTATTGATTTGGCCATAATTTGAATGTACCGTTAGTTGGACGTTAAGCAAAAATATACTTGCCAGCCGTACGCCGGTCTCCTGCTTTGGGAAGTTGGGCTAGTCAGAGTGCACGCTAGCAGCAGGTCATCGGTAGGTCAGCCGAAACCATAACATGGATACGCGTTGGCTCAAGGCCCTTCAAAGCGAATTGTCGCTTACACTACTCATGAAGAGAAATTCGTCGGTTTGATAACTCAGGTTGGCTGTAGTCTCTCAAGTTCTTGGTCGACGATTGTAACCACTGCATATGGAACTGGTCTCTTCGGTCGGAAGACTGGCTTTGCTTCTGGCCGCAATGAAAGACTGGCCTTGGTTTTCGTGCACAATCTCAGACCATCTTGAAACACTTGCGGATATTTCCGCTGTAAAGACTCGGTCCACTCTGTAGATGCGTCGCTTACTTTGTTGCACACCGAATTCAAGGGAACATCAAGCAGTTTCATACTCTCAATCCAATCGAGACCGAGTAAGTTTAGATCGGGATGTCTCGTTATTTAGCATACCCCTATGAACTGACAATCCTTGAATATTACAGGACAATAGATTGCACCGGCCAAGTCCAGCGGTCCTGCTGAAGCGTTGGTTGCAATCCGAGTTGTTCTTTGAACAGGTGGCTCACCGATTTGCTTCCAAGTTGTCTCGGAAATGAGTGTGATGTCTGAGGTAGTGTCAACTTGGAGGCGTACGGGCACCTGATTCACAACCACTGTTACGAACCTGCGTTTTGCGGTCCCTGTATCGAAGACAGGATAAATTTGAGGTCTTTGTTTTGCTAACGAGGTGGATACAAAGGTCTTGGCAGGTTTGGTGTAAGCGTTATTGTTGAAAATGGTTGCACGGCAATAATCCACTTTGTGTCCCCGTTTGTTGCATTACTGACAAAGATGCTTCTTGAACAAGTAGAATTTGACGAAGTGCCATTTGCCACATTGCCGGCATGCGGATGGTGGTCTGTTTGACTAATGAGTTTTGGACCGTCGCTGTACTCCCGCGCTGGTTTGACACCATCAACACATTCACGGGGCACGGACTGTGGCCTTAGGCAATCATGTTCGCATCGTGCTCCAAGTTGATTGACCTCTGGCGTTCGGAAATGGACAAGAGATTGATGGACGGGTCCTGCTCAATTTTATTAAACAGCCTCATGCGTATTTCGGCATCCTTGGGCGTTTGGAGACCACAAACGAAAATTAAGGCCTTGAACTGATCGTCTGGAATTTCTTTTAGCCTGAAACGCTCGCAATGACGATTGACGGTACTGGCGTAATTTACGAAATCTTCTGACGCGCACTTAATGAGCTCCACGCAGTTGTATCGGACGCTGAATAAGGAAGACTGTTCAGCAAAAATGTCATTTAACAGAGGTACAGGTTGGTCAAAGGTAAAATCGTTGGGACATTTTGGCAAAATAAAATTGAGAAACCTTCATGATTCCCAGCTTCCGCAAATGTAATCGGCACTGCCATCCGTCGTCAGCATCCGCGAATTCAGGCGGGAAAACGTCGTCGTATCTTCTGTATCAAGATTAAAACGTTAGACCAGCATCTGAGTTGTGCTGAAACTTACAAATGCTGTCTGCAATCGCATACGCAGAAGGATATTTTCGAGCAATCGTGTCTGGCTTTCTTCAAATAGCTTCGAGGTTGAAGTATTGTGGTAAGTTGCTCCAATGAAAACGACATAGGTAGTAGTATTTTCGTCGCATCGAATCGAACCGTTACCTCCGTCGCCAAGCCAGAGGGAAACAGAGCTGTGTAATAAGATGATTATTTGGGCAACAGTAAATTTCGAAGTACAGCAACAGGACGTGAGAGGAAATCAAGGTCACATGAACACAGAATCTAAACTATCTACCAATAATTACGGCAGACGGACGGACGCGGTTAGCGCCCAGCCGTGTACATCATTTGGGTTCACTGATCCATTCGTTAGGAGGTACCCATCCTAACACTCTCATCCACCATGAGATAACAAGTTTTCTAGCAATGACTGAACTCTGTGGGCGCAGCTTACTTTGGCCCTCCAATTTCAATCCAGCTACATAAAAGTGACCACGCGCACAGTGGTGGGTCTGGAAACTGCAGCCTTGTCCCCAATCCATTTTACCTAGACCGAACGACTAATGCGTGCCCATGGAAACAACGGTGCATCAGCGAATTGGCTACTCCCTTCCATGGTGCTTCGAATTCGTTCACGAAATCCATCGGACTCAACGAATGATGATGTGCAAACAAGGAGGTGCGCATTCGTAGGGATGATCCACGACTCCATCTCCTATGTACCTATGCTATGAGATCAAAATCTCTTTCTGAGTGTTGGATTGGTCACCGTGCTGAATAACATCATCAGTGTAGACATTTAAATTGCACCCTTTGCTCCGTCCAACTCAGGCACTTAAACTTTTTTCAAATAACTTGAAAGGTGACATGCGCAACAAAACTGCAGTAGTTCGCATAAAGGCAGCTGATAATCGCAGTCTTTTTATATTCACTATTTGCATCACTGACATTCAGAGCTTTCTTCAGTTGCGCTGTGCTGAGAAATCTACATTGTCCACCACCTTGGCGTTATTCCCAGTAAACAACGCAAATAGGTCGCATGCCAAGTAACGGTGTCCAGGTTCGCTATACTGCAGTCATTCATTGAAATTTTACCTCACATCGAGTAATTTAGTCACGTCGGTCGTTACCGTCCCCCATAGCCCAGTGGTCTTCACCACGAACTAGTAGCAGTTTCAAGCACAGGGGATAAATAGTGTGCATTGCTGGCGATTCCCGAAAGGATGACACGGCCGTACAGTGCCTTTCTGTGCGTGTGACGGCCGAGTGGGTTTAGGTGTGATAAACTTTTATTCATTCTATTCCTACAAATGGAAGTTGGCTGTATATAAGAATGCGAGCACCTTGGTCTCAGTGAACCAGTATGTGGAGAAAAATCGTGTTTCCATCAAACTGAACCTCTAAGTTCAGTTTCAATTTCCGTTATGGCACGCCAACCACTGGAAGTCCATGAGGTCAAACGCTGTGGGCATAGAATTTCGTGAATTAAAAACGGATCCTATAGTTAACAGGAATGCCTCGAAGTTTGAAGTGGAATTGGAGCACATATATGACAGACAGAGGCGAAAAGGAAAATGCACTAGCAGTACGCCGGTAGGCAGTACCGATGCTTCGCACAACAACCAAAAGTCGTGTGTGAACTAAGGATAATGCGAGCGTCGCTCGGTCCCCTACGCAGGTTCGAACCCGCGCCATCGGATTAGAGGGCATGCTTGTGATCCTTAAGTCTACGGACCGGCGAGATCGTCCATAGACATCGGGACGCTCGAACCGAACATACTAAATTGTCTGATCGATACGAAGTCAAAGAGTTAAGGCTAGTGAAGTCATCTTGGGACATCAACAGAAACAGACGAGCAAGCGGCATATGACTATGGCCCAATTCGCCTCGTAACTACTAAGGTCTCGTGTAAACCTGTAAACACCGCTTTGGTATGCATTTCGCATCTTCAAAAGCCGAACTACTGTCGCAGGGCCACCAGATAAATCGTTGAATCTTCATGACGAAAAACTGAGGATAGATGGCCGACCCACCTGTTTTGTAGGTATAATGGCACCGATGGGTGCGTGACTGTTGTGCTAGTTCACGTATTGCAAAAGCTTGAGACACCTTCATGAACTTGCGACATCTCTGGCGCCAGAAGGGTTTTCCTCGAACTAAAAGGCCATGTGTGCAAGGCCACAGTAAGGTCCTCCCCCTACTATCAAGGAGTGAGAATTGGCTTTTTCGATTGGAGAATCTGAGGCGCCTTCAACTATCTGATCATCGTTGTCTGTGGAGAGTTGAAGGTGTCGGATGGCACCAGCGTGTCCACAACGATGATGCGCACACGTGAGGAATACGTGGTGAGAGTCAGAATAGTTCTTCATGAAGGTGTCCGGTCACATGCCACATATTCCTACTCCCCGATGGGAGTCTTGCTCCCTTTTTTGAATGTTCGGTGGCGCAGGGCTTAATAGAGGGCAAAACTTGACCTAGCAACGGAATCGTTGAAGACTAAACTGAGCACTGTAATTCCGTCTCGCCCTACTCTACGTGAGTCGCCTTGATTTTAGTTCGAGAATTTATAAAATTTGGTTCGAAGGCCTTATCATTGGCAAGGTTGATATCATCGCCTAGTCGAATTATGTTTTGAATGTATGTCTGAAGCTGTTTTCTGCAGAGTGAGCCTGATTGTGACGCGGAGCAGTAACAGTCGCAAAGAAGCTGTATCGTCGATGTCACCTTATCCTCGCACAAAAGCTAGCTGTTGTGACTGTGTGCTGTTTGACAAGGCGTAAGAACTAAGGAGTAGATTTCACAGTGACGCCCTCTTCTCTTTCTTATTACACTTCATTGCACAGGCAACCACGGTCGAGCCGCAACTAAGCATCGATACAAATTACTGATGTACTGTTACTGATAAACGGCCTAGCAACACAGCGGCTACTATTCCCAGCAAAGTAATCGGAACTGACAGTAGAAAAAAAATCATATTCACATGGTTGTAAAGTGTCCGAAGAGAACAGAGGTAGTTGGAAAGATCATAGCAAACTCTCAATCCGTCTGGCTGGAGTGCATTAGCCTAATGTGTCGATGCAAGTTTGATTTTTGACGGAATCCTCGATCGCACTGAGTGCATGTGTACGGTTTCGCATCCGAATGAATGAGTTCGTGCGTTGTGAGGCTGTAGCTTTGAGAGAAACCGGCCCCGCAGAATCTGCACACGAACGGACGACAATTGGTATGTGTGCGCTCGTGTCGTTTGAGGAGGTACGCTTGAGGGAACACTCGGGAGCATGTGGCACATTTGTGCAAAGCGCGGAAAGAACGACCTGCTCCAGGAGAAGTGGCACGCTTAGGTCTGACACCACGGCGGCGTCCACGTGAAATCACATTTGCATTAGTTTCTGCATTGGGATTGGGAGACATGGTATGAAGTAAGGCTATTTTTGCGCAATGATGCTTGAAGTAAGCTCGACTGTCGGGAAATTTGGTGTGACACGATTGACAACAGATGGCCTCGTGGTATGAGCCTAAAACGGAGTTGGGTTGATCAACAACTTCAACAGTAGTGGACGGCTCTAAGGATGTCTGGACGAAGGACGGTGTCTGTGACAACTCCACGACCGAGATGACTTCACTCGAACCAAACGTGTCAGTCTCGGACACAAACGGAGCCAAATACAAACCAGGAAAAAGGACTTGGGATGGGAGGATAGACGATGTCCATTCAGGGTGGGTGTGAAGATCCTCTTTGACCTGGACAGGGATCAATATGTTCGCGCCAACAGGCAACGACAGAACCTGGTTCCCATCTTCTGTAAGAAAGCTAGTCATTAAAGGCACACTAGAGGAGCTATCTCCGCCTGTCACAGGCATATTGTCTGGAAGTCCGATCTCAGAAGCTTGGGGAAAAGTCATGTCAGTTACAGAGCGATCTACGTTTGACCCTACTGTCGTGCGCCTATCACGGAAGGTAGGCGGCGGTTCTTGTATGTTGTCGTTAAACTCCCGACACACGTGTAAGTGGTTTTGCCTCTGGCTCCATGTGGTAAAACGTGCTCGACAATAGATGCACTTGTAAGTTCTGGACGCAGCGTGCCGCCGGACATGACAGCGCAAACTGTTTTTTGACCACAATGTTCGATCACACAGATGACAGCGAAAACCGACAAGGCATGCAGGACTACGGAGCGATGCTTCTTGGGGGTTACGGCTGAGGTTGGCATCACCAGGCTGTTGGATGGTGTGCGTTCGGATAATATGCTTCTGTAAAAGACAATTTTTAGTGAACTGTTCACCACATTCGGTGCATTTGTACGGTCGGATTCCCAAATGTGCCCGTGTATGGTGCCTGAGCCCGGAGACTGAAACAAACGAGCGACCGCAGGTGGGACACAGGTGGCGTTTTACGCGAATGTGACCTCTCTCATCGACGTCCTGATTCAAAGCGGCTGTGTTTCGCTCTGGACTGGACGGTTTCGTGTTGTTCTCGGAATTTGTCACCAAATCACGGACGCACTAGAGAGGAAGGATAAACGGGAAAAAGATAGCAAATTCGTGGATAAGTTAGGTTATTACGAAGCAATTTAGATAGAACAAAACAATATTCTTGACAGCAATGCGCATTTCTCAAACCCAGTGGGGAGTCATAAAGCTGCGGTGAAATTACGTGACCGTGCTCATCAATTCAATGCCGAGACATGTGTGAGAAGTTGAGTAGTCCAATAACAGTATAAATAGCGTACTGACCAATAATATGGTTGGTGGCACAAAGTTTCGGAGTTGCCTGTCATTGTGGTCAGCCACAGGACGCATGCGCCTATAGAGGGACAATGGGTGGCTTGCGCTGCATCACCCACAGCTCCAACCACATATCCGATATCCAGTGTAAACCCGAAGGAATAAGACCGGGAGGTAGGTGGATGGGAGCCATGTTTCATCAACCGAGCCGGCCCACACTCTTTCACAGGCAAACACAAGCACACTGTATTTGGGGAATCAAGCGCACACAAGGCGACGACTGGACCGTAGTCCGCTCCACACTGAGTGCATGGAACTACTCTTAGAGCCCAGCACGACCACAAGGACCGTGCACCCTGTCCCCTCCAGCAACGACCAACTGTCTCCTGGAGCCAGTATGGACGAGGTAGTGGGTAATAGACAGGTAGGCATCTTGTCAACATGCACATCCAGCGCAGCCACACCGTGGATATCAAGCAACAGCCAACCACCTGGAACGACAAGATGAAATAAAACAAATCTAATAATGCATACAGATACGGTGGCATAACTCTTCGCTAAATTAGCATATGAAGTAAGTTGGTTAGCGACGAATTCGCGATAAGGAAAAAATGTCCACGTTACTTAAAAGTGCTACAAACGCAACAAAGTTATCGAAGATAAGCGTAATCAGCGTAAGTAACGTGGCCAGTTAATAGAAGATTATTCAGGTAGGCAGAACAAACCAAATAAAGTGGAATGAAATTTATCCGGCTTAAAAAGACCTAGTTTAAGTGTAAGTTGGTTTAGCCCAACTGCGGTGAAGAAGCATCAAGAATGCGATATCAGCCTTAGCATGGGGCAGACCAATCATATACATCACTAAGTACAGTATGGCAACATCAGTAGTCTGATGATGCTAAATGAGCTATAGCTTGCTCTCGAGTGGGGTTAATCTTAAGCCATTGTATTTGTGCTCCGAAGAAAATAGCACACTCTAAAAAAAACAAGGAAACGCCAAGGCCGCAAAATAAACTAACTAGGTACATGTATATACGTAACACTTTCATGCGGACACACTAGGATGCACAGTAAGGTATGAAACAATTTGCACGTCACTGGACTTTGTTTAACCAACCGGGATTGAAGCGATGAAGAGAAAGGGGGGGGGGGTAAAATGCCTTGACAGGAACGAATGCGGTGATGGAAACAGATGGGGATAACCGGCAAACAAAACGTCAAGATTAAACCGGTTAGACACACGTCAACGTAAAGAGCAACAACTGAAGGCGAAGGCCTAAATGCAAGAGTCTAGGTGGCTCGTTTAAATGGCCAACTGATTATTTGGCGGAAACAAAAGAAGGGATTGATCAAGACCTAGTCAGACTAGATGGGCTACATCTGTGGCAGAGCAACTTATCAGATATGCCTCGGTTGTCAAATCAATTGTGCTCATGCACATGATTTCTTACAGATTGTCTAAACCTTTTCAGGTGACAACCGCAGCTTTCTCTTGTTCTATATGCGGCCGGATTTTGCTTGACACGGTTTATCGTCATATGTGCATCCTCATAGCTGAGCAAGCCATGGTAGGTGAATCCACCCAGTGCGGCCAAATGCAACTAGATGTAACGGAAATTCCGATGTGCTGCCCATTCAGGACAATGACAAGAATCAGAGGCCCAAGTTGCAAGCTGATTTGTTCAGACCTCAAGGCAATGCAACCTCCTGGGTAGATTACACATTATCATTCAGCCGAATACAGATCAGAAAGCACTCGGAACCGAAGTGAATTGTTTGGAATAGATGCAGACTGCATAGCCGAGGACGGCATCAAAGGAGAATAAGAAGAATGCGGAAAACATGGTTTATTTCACGATACCCCTGTCCGTTACCGTTTGGATGACGAGGTGAGGTTCGCAGAACACAGTGGCAACCGCATCGTCGGTGCTTCGCACAAAAATCATCGCTACCGCAGCCCCATTGTGTCGCGGGGGACTCTGTTTATTAAGCGCTTTGAAGAAACCTACAGTTTGACGGAAAATTTGAGAGTGGATATATTCGGGTGTTGCTCTTCCCAACCCTGACAACCCACGACCGCGGTTTCGTCTTGGTTTAGACTCGTCAGGTGGAGATAGCCTGAGCTGGGGTGGAACTCAGAGCTTAGTAGCTCATGGCTGACGCCCTGAACACTATACTACTGAGATCCGCGAGCAATGCTTGGCACAGCGGAAAGTAATTCAAGTTGAATTTGGAAGCACGCTGTGTGGCTGGGTTGCGACGCGCAACCTCTATTGAGACCTCGGCTCACGTTGAGGTAAACCTCGGTCATTCCGATCTCGAGGACCGTATCCTGAATGGATATATTCGGGTGTTGCTCTTCCCAACCCTGACACCCCACGACCGCGGTTTCGTCTTGGTTTAGACTCGTCAGGTGGAGATAGCCTGAGCTGGGGTGGAACTCAGAGCTTAGTAGCTCATGGCTGACGCCCTGAACACTATACTACTGAGATCCGCGAGCAATGCTTGGCACAGCGGAAAGTAATTCAAGTTGAATTTGGAAGCACGCTGTGTGGCTGGGTTGCGACTCGCAACACCCGAATATATCCATTCAGGATACGGTCCTCGAGATCGGAATGACCGAGGTTTACCTCAAAGTGAGCCGAGGTCTCAATAGAGGTTGCGAGTCGCAACCCAGCCACACAGCGTGCTTCCAAATTCAACTTGAATTACTTTCCGCTGTGCCAAGCATTGCTCGCGGATCTCAGTAGTATAGTGTTCAGGGCGTCAGCCATGAGCTACTAAGCTCTGAGTTCCACCCCAGCACAGGCTATCTCCACCTGACGAGTCTAAACCAAGACGAAACCGCGGTCGTGGGGTGTCAGGGTTGGGAAGAGCAACACCCGAATATATCCATTCAGGATACGGTCCTCGAGATCGGAATGACCGAGGTTTACCTCAACGTGAGCCGAGGTCTCAATAGAGGTTGCGAGTCGCAACCCAGCCACACAGCGTGCTTCCAAATTCAACTTGAAAATTTGAGAGTATACACCTTCTGACCTGACGTTTTCACCAGCGCTACCAGTTTTGGTTAGCAACATTTGGTCATTTTGATTCCAAAACTCCTTCATACCACCACTGACTTTCCATCTTCCCAAGCTTTCCGGCTCACACATACCAGAAACGTTTTTAAAAGTTCTGAGTCATACACGTGTTTGCTTCTTTGTACATCTTATACCATGGTGCACGACAACTCCCACAGGCAGTTGAGTAAGGCGCTACGCATCGACTGTGCAACACTGGCTTGATACAGTAAAACAACGTCTGATTCAGTTCGGGACTTAGTAATTAAATACTCCAACTCTTTCAATTTCTCCGAACATGTGCTTTATCAGGTTGCGAAAGCAAGGCAGTTATGCGGATACATCACCAGAACCTGCTCCCTGACACGACTTGAGTCATTCAAGATAATAGTAGGACCGACTCTGGAATACTGTACTATCGTTCACAGGCAAGTGGGAAATAAAGACAGAACAGTTCTGGAAAATGCCCAACGATAACTTACCAAGTTGGTCATGGCGCGCTGCTCAAATCTGAGTTATCATGATCGCTGTCGACAACTCCAAATGGATCCACTTTGGCTGAGACGCTTAAAGAATAAGCTGCTTCTTTGCTACAACATCATTAACCAACGAAATTACGCAGACAGCATCGCACTTGAGCTACGAAAGACTGCAGTCTACCCCACACGAAATGCCGGCTACTTGCTACGCACAAAGTTTGCAAGTCATAAAACTCGATCGAATTTCTTCTTAGTGAGATACCCGGGTCTGCGGAACAAACTTCTTTTACGGATACGCATGAGTGTAGGCCATGTCACATTTCGAAATTCCCTAGACTTTCCTCACTATATCAAATGTGTTGAAGATCTTCGACCCACAACGAGCTCTAGAAACATTGACGGAATCTGATATAAATAACATATGAGCAGCTAGTTGCTTACAATCAGCTTGCCAACTCCATAGCATTACTTACAAAAGTAAATCCCGCGTATGTGCAACCTATTATGCCGTCCCTTTTATTATCTACTCCTGAGTCTCACAAACTAGAAAATGATGATACAAATATCGGTACATTTTACCTATTAGGTGATCGGGTCTAGGACGAAGGGGGGAAATTCATGATACGAAATTCCAGCATTTGAATTTACTATTATGAATTTACGTCGCATAAACCATGAAACCTATTCAGTGTACAATTATTGATTGCTCCCGTTTATGGGGCCGTGTAGCGTCTGTGGGTAAATATACAAATTCATTTACAATACGAACACCGAAGTGCGGTGGATCTAATCGCTACGGATCGCGTCACCAAGATAACAGTAATCGAGGAAAATAAAGCAGAACACACACAGAAGAAAAATGAATAGAAAATATAATCGGAGTAAAATGCTGATAGCTAAATGCCAAAATCCGAATGCAGGAGTGCATTCAATTCGCGACTGCACCACTGATGTGGATCATTCAGAGAGGCCCCCATCTACAGTGAGAGAAAGTCCCAATGGGACAAAGTCTCTAGGGCAACTTAACGCCTTTATGCCCCATAGTCGACTGGCCACTTAATGACTTGTTCAGTTAGGCGCAGGGACGTCCCATAGTGCACTCTGAGGAAAGGGATCAACGATATATCCAGAGAACATAATCCAACCAATCTAAGCGATTCAAGGTTAACAGACTGCAGTGTGCTAACAAAGGGCTATTTTCAAACACCGATTAAAGGACTTCACCCTTTGCACGCAA